TGATCCTGCTTGGAAGATTGATAAGCCAATCATGCAATCTGTGCAACAAGGTGATGCATTTCCAAGTTCCAAAGGGGGAAGATGGCCAACCGGATAATGGCATGGTGACTTGCTTTGTTCAATAGTCTACCATGACACCTCTTTCTTTGGTTTGTGCCGGGATGATTGGGAGATCCGAGGAATCAAACGAACTGATTGGTGCTTCCCAGCGCCAGAAGCAATGCAACAACATGCTCTGGAAATGATTGACTTGCACAATCAAGCCCTCCGCAATGATGCATAGAAGATCTCTGCCTCCAACTCTCCTCCTTCCACCACCAGCACTGCGCCTGTGGTTACCCTCAACAACAGACTCTGAGAATGATGAGTTTGCTGATCGTCCAATGCCTGGCTATCGAGCCATGTAGGGTTGTGTTGGTTGTAGCGAACTAACTGACAACATCATCATTGTGATGTTGTCAGAGCCAATCAAGAGATCGGATACTAATGCCTAGGCTGCTGCTGCTGCCCATGCCTCCAATTCTGTCCTCTTGGCTTCTTGTCTCTCTCAAGACGATTGTGGCAGGAAAGTTTTCTTGTTGTTGTTGGAAGCGCAGCAGTTGGCTGACGATGAGTGGTTGTCGGCCGACGACGGCCGTTCGTCAAGAGATGAGTGGTTGTGGACTGTCGACAACAATGATGATAACAACGATGGTCGTTGTTTGTGTTGTCGACAACAACAGATGAGTTGATGAGTCAGTTTGTGTGACTAGCGGCACTATTGTAGAATCCGTGTGGAGCCTCACCTTCATGAGGACCCGAGTCCGAGTTATTAATAACAGCTCTACAAGCTGTTATTCAAAGGGTCGCGTGTTTCATTGTTTTATGTTCCAGATCGTTCCGAGTAACCGTCAATCTGGATCCAATATTCAGCTCTGGAGATCAGTATAAATCTTTAATTAAGGTAACAGTCACGAGTTTGACACCGTTGAATGACCCAAATTTTTTCAAAGCCAGGCGGAGACAAGAAGAAGCAGTTCCCCGCGAAGCTCCATCCATACGCCGCGGTCCACACACTCATTATCCCTCATTAGTCGATCTTCCTTGTTGTTTCTACATCCGAGTTGTTTGGGTAGTCGAATACCCACAGGAGAAGCGGTAATACTAGCTAGTAGTATCACGATGCGGACTCATGGGGTTGGCTCCCACCTTGCACTATTCCGACACACAATGGTCACAAAGTATGCTATCAGAAGAGACTTTGGGGTATACCGGCCTTCGATGGGATACCGGTAACGTGGAAGAAACTGAATTGACTTGAACGCGCAAGCTGAAGCTAGTGGATAATGGAACCCTCTGTCTGGCGATTGAATAATGGAATCTGCCGTGGCATCACTCCTCTCAGTCACTGTCCTATTATTAGGTGGCGAAGAAACCCAACGACAATATGCAACGGAAAGTCCGAGCTGGCTGGTACTATCATCAGTGCACAACACAATCAACTTCATCTTCAACAATCGACAATGGCCGACAACGACCGACAACATCAACCACTATTAATAGCAGCGACAACACAACCACCAATTACCAGCTTCAGCTTGGTGGGCTCTACAAGTTCAACAACACGTCATCGGAACGCGTCCCCATGTTCTTGGGTTCTTTTCCAGATTGGACTTCGAAAGAATTATTGGCCACGGACTTATGGATTTTCTGGCAGGAGGATCGAATTCGATTAAATCGATTGTGGATTCGATTGCTAATTCCGGTTTGCCGCTCTTTTGGACCGGTTTAAATTTCAAATGCCACGCCTGATGGCCCTTTGACAGCTACTTTTATAAAAGATCCCTGGCTGGCGAAACCATGTCGGCGCTGTAGCGGGCAAATTTGATTTCTTCCGCTCAAAAAGAGTAAAAGCCTCCATTTTTCTACCAGTATGATCATTCGACTCTTGGTTCTCTGTCTCATCACCATGGCGTCCCAATCCAGCACACCATCATCGACTCTACGCAAGTCCCGTGCTGATACGCCTGCACCTTGGATTGAGCTTCCATCAAACTCTCCTCCGTCGACACCTTCAGCGGTTGGGTCGCATGGTTCCGAATGGTCTGCCCAGTCCACTCCGCCCTACAACGAAGCCCTCGAGGGGGCTGCTTCTCGCAAGTCCCGTCGTGCTACATCTTCGCCTTCGACTACAGAAAACTCCCGTCCGTCGACTCCTTTGTCCGGTGGGTCTCGTGGCTCCGTATTGTCTGCTTCGCACTCTGCAGCCTTCAACGAAGACGTGTTGGCTCAAGCTGCCATCAGTCTACACGATCGGACGTTGGAAGCATTCGAAGATCACAAGGCTACCTCCCGCGCCAAAATAGACTCCTGCAGCGACAACATGGAAAAATACTATACGCTTGTTGACAACTTTCATACCCTTGTGAACAACCACCATACCCTTGTCGACAACCATGATAGGCGAGGCTTTGACGCACTTGTTGCCATTTCCAAAGGGAATGACAAGATTGCCACACATTTGGTTCAGGTTGACGCGTAAGTATCGCCTTTTGACGGAAGCCTGACTGATCCTTTCTTTCACCCTTGTTGCTCACCAGTTCTCATGTTATTGTGTACAGGAATCAATCAGACGCCTGGACCAACGTTGAAGAGAGTTTTGACGAAGACAACGACATGGAGGAGGAGGAAGAAGAAATGGCGACGCCCAAAAAATTGTCTTTTGAGGAAACGAATGAGACCGCTTCAAACGGTTCTTTGAACCGCAAGAAGGTCGCGGCATCCGGTAAGCTACCAGAGTTTTTTGTGTGCCCTTCTTTCTTTCTCTATGCATTGCTGACATTTCTCTCGTATGTCCCAGTCAGCACAAGCGCGAAAGCTGGAACCAGTACTAGTAGTGCCAAGGCAACTACCCCTCTGCGCCTCAACGACCAGACGGTGAAGGCTTCCCTGGTTCCCATGGAGAGCTTCGGGTATCTTCTTCGTTTCCTCTTCGTCGTTTTCAAGGGCAAGCTTCGCGGTACCCGTACGAAAGTAGAACGATTCATTAATGGTGTTGTGAAGTTTGCTCGGGAGACCTTTGGCAGTAGTTTGCAAGGAACTCATCCTTCATCTACCGTTCTTGCAACTCCGTCATCTACCAGCCCCATTCGCGTTGCATCCTCGACAGCTATCGAGTCTACCCCCGATACCAAGAGTCCTGGCACCCAACCGATCCCCAATTGCGCTTCAACCAAAGTCAGCTCAGCACTGGTCCTCCGAGTCACTGGATTGTTGGAAAGTGTGATGGAGGAAACAAAGAAGGGGGGTGCTGAGGTAGCGGACTACCGCAAGCATTGTGCCGCAGTCAAGAAAGTGCGAAAAGAAACCATGCATCGGCTCTTGGACGATAGAGACAGCGAGCAGAGCCAACGTATCTCGGAGGCCTTGGTTGAGGAGATGGAGGAAGAGAAAGACTTCAAGGATCTATTTTGGAATGACCAAGAACGTCGTCATACAAGATTGGATGGCGTCCTCAGCGCAGCCACATTGCTTCTTGAAAGGTTTGTCTCCGCCGATTTGTCTGTGAGCTCACTTTTTCGTCTCCGAGTCGCCTCACCGTCATCGTCCCTGACTTCAGTTTGCTAAGTCCAAATTGTGTCATCCCCTCACAGTTCCACGAGCAGATGGATGGATATTCCGATGTTGATGGGTACGGCGACTGCACTCAAAAAGATGATTCAGACTGCAACGAGGACGACGAAACAGTCGACAACTAGAAGGCGTGATCAGATCGGTGCTCACTGCTGTAGCTAGCAAACATTCGTTTCATTTTCTAATAGCTACTAGTACGTGTAGTCCATCAGTGTCAGTTGCCACCACGAGGTATCTAGATTCGATACGATCCTGCACGGGTCAACTTCAGCCATTCTTGTCACGAAAACAGTTCGTGTAGCATCTTTGTGACCGATTTCAAGGCGAGCACGATGCAAAGAACAGCCCCCCAACGAGCAGAGCATCGGTACAGGTGCCCGGTTTCCCCTGTGTCAGCCACTAATCTAATCAGCCACATCACTTACACCCGTTCCGGAATTAGCAATGTTGTAGAATACCCATCGCATTCATCGTGTGATTGGAATGAGCAACGCCATACACTTCTCCCTTGATATTAAGAGAGTTGGAGATAAAATGTCGAGTACTGAGATTTGCTGGAATGTTTTAAGATACTTGAGACACTCAGATCTGCACTCTACTAGAGCTAAGATAGCCAGTAAGCACTCTCCCTTGGGCACATAAGAGATTGAGAGATGATACAATGACACTTTTCTACAACAAAACGCCTTAAAAAGAGGTGCCAAAAGTCAAAAATTTCGCCTCCGGCAGATGATACATTGCTCTTTCCTCTCTTCTCCTAAGGGTATGTTCAGTAAGGTGGCAAGCAGAGTAGCAAGGTTGGTATGTACCATACTATTAGTATGGTCAATAGAAATGACAAGAAAGCTAAGATGTTGCCTTTGGACCCTGAATTTTAACAAAATTCTAAGAAGATTCTCACTGCAGATATTTGAGTTTTTGCTAAGATTCCTTCAGGGTAAAGGTGAACTTAGAGATATCTTAATATCAAGGGAGGAGTGTACATGACATTCTAGTTCTTTTTACTTGAATCTTAGATAAAAATTATGAAATTTTAGATTTTTGCCTCAAACTCTGCAATTTCAGGTAATATCTGGAAAAAGTGAAGCAAAAACTCAAATGTCAGAGTTTAGTTTCAAACTCTGAAAGTTTCGCACAATAATACTTGATAAATGAAGCAATGAATGAAATTTCAGAGTTCTGCTCTACGGTGCGGTGCTCATGTGCTCTTTACCGGTACAGCGTACCACTGGATGCCTCCGGTACGACTTACACAACATGTGTCCTGGAAAAGGCTCGTGGAAGTCCCCCGATAGGCGATCGTGGAAAGTCGCTACGTGGTAAAGTCGTAAAAGACGTGAAAGTTGCGCCAAATGTCGCAGTAAGTTGCGCGATGTTTCGAAAGTGACGTCACGAAAAATGGCGAAGGGCGTAAAAGTCGCGGTAAACGTCGTTCGAAAGTCGCTCGACTTTCAAAGTCGCGACGTCGCGACGTTTCGCGTTCCTCAGGAAAGTCGTTAGCTGCCGTACCGGTACTTCCAGGCTGTCCCTGCACAATGGGAACATGTATGTGAATTTCGTTGCAGGCATCGGTATCAATCCGTGGAAAGCAAGTGGGTTTGCCAATGCCGTTTGGTTCAGCACAGGAACTTTGCCGACCTTGGGCCAATGAAAGCCATGACGGCGCTTTGGCGGGCGATTTGTTCCGTTCAAGGTTGCGGTGCCTAGAATGGTTTGATCCGCTGATACCGTCCACGAACCACGTTGACAACACACATGGTTGGCTAAGAGAGGACGAGGAATGGCCACCGACCGATAAAGATGTTGGCCACTCCTCCTCTTCAGGCTTCCGGTTCATTATTTCGATACCTCTACCTTTACTCTAGCAAGATGATGTTACGTCGTTTACGTCCTCTTCTTTACTTCTTTACAGCGGCTACTCCACTACCATGACAGGCTCCTCTTGTTTGGTTAGCGGGCAGCGGCAGCCGTTCGACGATCGTTCGATGCGTTCGACGGGTCGGTTCGGTCGGTCGATGACTTCTTCCTTCTTTCGGTCGACGATTACTTCCACGGAGCGACCATGACGCCTCCTCTTGCAACAAGCGGCTACTGCTCTATGCAGAGTTCGATCCATGGAGTGTCCTAGTACAACATCTCCCGATTTCATCCCGTCCAAGGTCGTGGCGCTTAGAACGTATGTTGAGCTCGGCGCGAAGTTCTCGAGGCGATCGTTGAGAAGGTATCAATCGTGGGAAGCAATGGGTTTCCCGAACCGTCGCTTCACGCCCTAGAGAGGCCAATTCAAATTCCAATGAAAGCCACGACGGCGCTTTGGCGGGCGATATTGTTCCGTTCAAAAAGATCCAAACGTGGCCTCGCACTGGAACCATCGCCTCCACTCCTCTCACTTTCCTTGATTTGACGACGTCAACAAGGGATTTTTCTACACGATCATTCGACTCTTGGTTCTCTGTCTCATCACCATGGCGTCCAATCCACCCATCGTATCCCCTGATAAGCCTGCATTTCATGGACCTTTTCTCCTCCAAGGTCTCGCGATGCTGCAAGTTTCCATCAAGCAAAAGGGTCAAACCTTGACATTATTCGAAGATCTCTCGGCTACTATCGGTAGACTCGAGGGACTTGCCACCAAGCAGAAGGATCGGACGTTGGCAGCATCTGAAGATCACAAGGCTACATCCGGCGCCGACGTGGACAAATACTATGCCCAAGTCGACAACCTCCGTACGCTTGTCGAAGACGCACGAAGGTCTGTTCCACCTTCTCCAGCCTTCCACAAAGTCCTCGAAGTGGCTGAAGCTGCGATCAACCACATGGATCGAACGTTGGCAGTATTCGAAGCCCACATTTCTACCTCCCGCGCCAACGTGGACAAATACTATACCCTAGGCGACGACTTCCGTGCCAAACTCCATGCCTCCATTTCCAAAAGTGACGAAAAGATTGCTGCTGCCGTCACCCTCTTGGTTCGACTTTTCGTGTGAGTACCATCCTGTCATCTAACATTCCATTGTCCCAACCAAAGCGCCTCGCCGATCTACTCGTTCCACACGTGCCAGCCGTCGCCAGACCTGATCAAGTCGGTTCGACCTTCCTCTACTCCTGGCCCAATAATGACTCCTCTATTTTAGCAAACATCGTATCATTTTCTACTACATGTAGCTAGTTTACCAGTGTCAGCTTCCACCACGACTTCTCCCAGCCTTGTCAAGGCATGCAGTCGGCCACTGTTTTCTAGCTATGTAGCTAGCGGTACCATTTGCCAGAGTGTGTTTTCTCTTGGGGAATAGATTCGATTCATTCGGTTCCTGCATTGAACAGATCCATAATAATACTAGTATTGGGTTTGCATGCCCTCTTCTCCGGGCAAAATACCAATCTGGCCGGCAACGATGTTGCGATTGATGTGCAATCAGAGGCTTGGAGTGATGCGGAAAATATATCTATGCATGCATCGAGCGACCAGACCACACCGAGAAGAATGCCTGGAAACGAGGGGGGACTACGAAAAGACAAAGGAGAAGCAGCAAAGGGCTTGCCAACAGACGGATCAACAGGAGGACAAAGAGGAACGTTGAGATTCAGAAGCCTGCGGGTCGTTCAGATAGCCAGCCAGTTCCTATGGCCGCCAATCGTCTCGTACAGTAGTAGCAACACCAAATTGGCAGCTAACCAGCCAGCCCTGTTCCGTCAATAGTACTAGCAAGCAGCGGCCATCCTGCCAACTCGACTCAAGAGCATTCGCCTTGGCTCTCGCCCCCTCGTTTGGGACGATGGCTTGCACGTGGCTGTACGGGAGGTACGGGTGTGACAAAAGAGGTTGACACTCCTGGTGGCTTGCTACCCTCCAAGAGCCATGTGGTGCCTACCTAGCCGAACTGTTCACTCCTTTATAAGCACCGCATTTCTTCCACTCACTCGCCGGTTCTTGGCATGTGACTCGATGAGGTGTCCGAGTCAAGATCATACTGGTATCCAGCTAGCTAGACAAAGAAAGCAAATTCCATTGGTAGATAGCTGGGTGTTCTGCTTCACGTATGCCACGGCCTCTGCTTCACAAATCAGAAGTGCGACGATGTGGGAGATCCTACTGAGTTGTGCTGAAGGCCATACTAGTAGTTCCAAAAGCAGAAAACTAGCTAGCTAGCAAAGAAGATCGGGTTACCGCAGGGGAAGATCGGCCCCTCCGATTGTGAGCCCCCTGAAAGCTCGCTCAATGAATACAGCTCAATCATCGTGATTATACAGCTCAGCACAGTAGTGATGGAGGTAAGTAAGGTTGTGAAAATGACCAACAAGAAATTATGGGCATCAATCCAATTTAGTGATGGATGTGCGTACTGTATGTGTGCGAGAAAATTGGCTGTCATAGTATTCCCCAGTTAAACCCAGTCCGTTTCTGTTCAATTTCCATTTCCGCCAAACAACCACATCTCGCAACAGTACAGTACTGCATGCAAGTCAATCAATCAATGCTTGGCCTTGGCGCCACGCTTCTTGGCCACCTTGGGTTTCTTTGGCTTTTTGGGAGGTAGCACCTTGAGCTGGCCTCGTAAGCAGCGATCCGCCCCTTTAATGTCCGGCCTCACCAGAAAACAGTCATCACATAGACTCTTGCGCTCTGTCGACCCCTCTGTTTCGGCAGGTAAGAACCACCCCGTTTGCCAGCATTCTTCGCCACACACGGAGCACGGCAATTTGGTTGCCTCTTCTTCGCCTTCTGCACCGGCATCCTTGGGAGCCCCTTCTTTGGGTTTCTCCTCCTCTGCCGTCGGCTCTTCTGCGGGAACAGTAGCTGGCGTCTCGTCGTCTGATGATCCCATTTCTAAATTGATTACGGGTGGGGGTAGCGGTGCAAGTACGATGTCTTCTGATGTTACTTGTTGAACAGTATGGGCCATGGTGGTTGCTGCCAAGCTGCCAACAGGAAGACAGTCTTGCAGTTAAGGTAGATGCGGTAAATTCAGATTTGTTTGTACCATATGTTGATCAGTATAAAATAACTTGAACTCTAAGTTACCTGAACTACCTTACAATTCTGTCTTTCAGTACCCGCGGTTGAGTTTGAGCGAACCGTCGTGGTTGCGCGCAGATCGCGCAGAGTACACCTCCAAAACAAAACAGCGCAACTGGCTTATTGTTTTTGGTTTCAACAACGGCTAGTTCAACCGTGCTTTGATTGCAGGGCGACCGTTTGCGGAACACCTACAAAGCCAGCAGCGTCCTGATTTGAGCTCTGATTTTTTGGTCCTTCTGACCAACCCATCCCCTCCTCCTTCTCTTTCGCTAACCATGGTATCCAAACCAAGACCAGTTGACCGAAGCACGGTGCCGTCACCTAAGGAGACGAACGGTGCACTCTACGAGCGCTTTGTTGCAATGATGAACAACCGAGAACCACCGTTCTTTCTGCCGGACAAAGAGATGTACATGTACATCGGGCAGCCAATTTCGTTTCGAGCCTGCACTTCAATTCTGACAAAGGCTCGACCTAAATCCATTACCATAATCCCACCTCAAAAGGCCGGTCGAAGGCTCGAACGCATTGTCTCAAACATCAACGATCCATCCAAACCAACAAGAGGCGATCCTGGCATCAAGCTCTTTGATATGTCCCCAAAATTCCTCACAATCCAGTGTGGCTACAAGCCGGACCACGAGGGGATCGCAGAATGTCGAAAAAACTTATTGAGCTTGATCAATCGGACAACACAAGGTCTGGTACTGTGGGAGAATGCCGAGGGTTGGGATATCCTCAAGTTTGGATCGAAGATGAATCAAATTCTTGTTGGAAAGAGTGACAGTCGCCTCTCTTTGGTTTGCATGGAGAATGGATTATACTGGATGTCCTACCTTTTAGCCACAGAGGCCAAAGCTTTGCGTCTCATTAGAAATTTGCAGGAGCCAACACCGACCAACCTCAAGATGGCCTTCGATAAAGCTGCGCTAATTGGACGAACGAAGTATGGTACCGATGTTCAAGGAGAGTGTTTTTACCCTTTGGCCGATGCGATTGGTCGAGCTACGCTTCCAATAGCCATTCGCGTCCAACGGAGCTACCTCGTCTCGACCGCTCCTCGCGTCAAGAAATGTCCAATTGCTCCCGCGTTCGCAACGTCCCGAGTGACTGTGCTGCCCGCTCCTGCGATCAGCGACACGAGCGCAGCCCTACTGAACGTTCTCTTGACTCAACGCCAGAAGGAGTTTGACGCGTTCAAAAGCTTTTCGGTTGCAGTTGGATTTAAGATCAAGAGATCAACGAATTTGATTACGGGAATTTTTAAGCTGATCGGGACAATGCAGAAGTTGTTTCGGGACCAGTCCAATCTAGGGTGGGAGGAATTGGCCTTGATCCAGGAAGATCGACAACAAATAATGATTGATCTCCTGGAATTGGCTCAAACACCAGCCCAAGCTTTTCCTTCCACGCCTCCCGCATCATCACCTCTAGCCAGACGATTGAAACTATTGAAACTTGCATCGGCGTCTAGGGCTACCAGGTTTCGTGCTTCTACCAGGCTTCTGCGTGCTGTTGACTTGGGCTTGATTGAACAAAACGCCACTCTACAGATGTTCCAAGACTTTTGCAAGAAAGGCCAGCATATGATTCGAGCTTTTGCCGATGAAGGGTACAAGAAATTGTGTGCTGTCATCCAAAATTCGAACAAGTTGGCGGACATGTTAGTTGGCCTGGCTGGGCAGGAGGAACCCTCCCCAGCCTTTCTGCAAACCCTTGAATTGACAATGCCTAAACAGCCGTATCTACAGAAACAACTTGCAACCTACACCAAGAAAGTCGGTTCAGTGATTGATGTCTTCTACGAGAAAGGATGCACGGCGCTTGATGCCATGAGCAACAATCTTGGCAAGCTAGCTGATCTTAGCCTTTCCTTGACCGACCAGTATAGGTTAGTAGCTTTCTGGGGAATCATGTTGACGTGCTTCATCATTGTGAATCCCATGACTCACTGCTTTGCACATTAGAACCCTGTCCCGGCAGAACTCCCCGGCCTTTCGTCAAACCCTTGAAGCTTTTCATTTGACTCTGGCGGACCAACGAAAGGCTCGGCAAACGTTTGATAAAGACTGGGTTGTCCATGCAAGAAGGATTGCTAGCCATACTTAGCAACACACTGTCGGCTGATCATAGATCCAACCACCGGACCAGACCGCACGAACTCCCAACTATTAGGTACTCACTGGGAAGCGTATACCGCACGGAGGTGCATAGATCTAGAGTCTAGGTTTAACTGAGGATGTTTTTCTGGGGTCAAACTAACTAAGCATAAACACAACGTCACCCAAGACAGCGCCACACAGTTTTCGTTACTGTTGCTACCTTCTGCCACTGGCTACTACTAGGGAGCCTGGCAGCCCTCGTGCAATCTCAAGGCGCACCTGCTTGAAGCGATCGTAATTAAATCCCGCGACGACACCAGGTACCTGCTCACGACGTCGATGCCTCCTCGAAAACGCAGCGCACGCACCGGTACCGAGCTCACAACTCCAAGCTCGAATCAACGGACTCGACTCCTCCTCGAAATAGTACCGTACAATGACAAACATGAAACGAGCCGACTTTGCAGCCTCTTGATACTTCATGCTATGAAACAGCAGCGGAATCTGTCTTTCCTGTGGCAGCATGAGCCGTTGCGAGCCCGGCGGAACAAAAGCTCTCAATCTCGTCACAACGAAAGCCATCAGTGTTTTGGTAGTGGGAAGAAATGAGTCGAGTAGTCATCCTGTGCATACTCTACATCCACCGGTGGCAAGAGACGACAAAATACCGTTCTCACTATAGGAGGAAGAGGCAAACCGTTGGGCATTTCAACCAGCTGGGACGTCTACCACCATGGGAAGTGTTGTCAAATTTCTTCGGGCAGGAAAGCGCGTAGCTTTACACGGTGTCACGAGTGGTGATGTAATCACAATGGCACTGCGAGATAAGATGCACCATCTAGAAGTCAAAGACAGCAGCAGGGTATTGCGATTTCGTGCCAAGACATCCGGAGAAATCGCTTTACTGGGATGGGGTGAAAGATGTCCAATTGATAGATCCATGCAAGGGTGACAACGCAGACTATCATGACAGTCATGCACTTCAATTTACCAAGGGAGAGAGGGGATGCTTCATGGGTATGTGCGTCGTTGTGGTCCCTCGCATGGCCGATGAGCGGAGCAGCAAACTTTCTTACAGTACCATGGTGCAGTCAAGAAGACACCGTAGCGGTAGCTAGGTATTAAATAAAATGAAACATCCAGTTCTGAAGGAGGGCGCTTTGTTTGCTAAACCTTTCAGTATCATTTAGACACAAAGATTTATTCTGCTCATTCCTGCTTCAAAATCTCAAAGACGTGGTCATCAAAATCACGACTGAAGACTGTCAGAAACGCACCTCACCTCTCCCACATTTTTCTGCAGGGAGACCTTGAGCTACCGGTACCATTACCATTACGGTACCACCAACAATCAGCAACAAGACAACATGGAGGCACGAGAAGAAGGGGACTATGATCCCATGGCCTTTTTGCTCCTGAATAATAGCGGCAATTCCATCGAACTTACGAATTTCACGGACCGATTCAGTTCCCACGATCAATCGAACGACGGCCGGGCTGCCGAGCTTTCTTTCGCACAACGCAGTGGCATGATGAGTGCCAGCACTGGCGCTACTTTTGTTGGGTGGATACGGACCCGAAAGAATGCCGTACCAGTATGTGTTTTTCTGGTGGTCGCCCTGATTGCCTTGGTTGCTCTCTCCCAAAGAAGCCCATCAGTCGAATGGCCACAGTCTACTGCGAAAGCCATTAGGGTTGAGAATACCCCACAGGCAAGAGGCGAGGCTTGGCTTCGAGGCCACCCAGAGTATGGAGCAATGCCCACTTGGCGCAAGCATCAATTGATGGCCCTTGCAACTTTGTATTATGCAACCTGGATGGGGAGCCCAGGCTCTAATAGCCGCTGGCTGGATGGTTCGATCCATGAATGCGATTGGACCGTGCACAATAACAACGCCAATAGAGACAAAAAACCAACCTGCACCAGCGAAGGCGAGTACACATCCCTGGAGTTCTTGGAAAGTGGTCTTCAGGGGACCTTGCCAGAGGAGGTATCCTTCCTTACCAAATTGACCTCACTGGCGCTCCAAAAGATGAGTATTCACGGCACCATTCCTAGAAGATTCGGAGCTCTAACGGCGCTAACAAATCTCCAACTTGAACGAAACCGCTTCACGGGTGAAGTACCCAATTTTTTGTTCAGCAATATGCCGCATCTCCAGGTTTTGCGACTGGAAACCAACGCTTTTTCAGGCACTCTTTCCACTGAAATTGGCAAGTTGACTGCCCTTGAAAAGTTTTCATTCAGCGGCAATCATAACCTGAAGGGTCACCTGCCAACCGAGCTGGGTTTTCTTACCTTGCTAAAGGAACTAGATTTGGTACGGAATTCTCTCAGTGGTCAGCTCCCCACAGAGCTTGGGCTGGCAACTGCCTTGTCCATCCTTCGCTTGTCGCACAATCCTTGGACTGGAAGACTGCCTTCTGAGCTGGTCCGGTTATCCAACTTGTTTTCCCTGGATATCAATGACAATCTAATGACTGGGACTCTTTCGTTTGCTGGATCTGCATGGGGCCACCTGAACACTTTAATGTTGTCCGGCACGCATGTCTCTGGCACGCTGCCCCAGGAAGGTTGGGACAAGCTCACTGGACTGGAATTTATTCATTTATCTTCCAATCGCCTGTCGGGGCCACTGCCCAGTGAGCTTGGCTTGCTCTTCTCTCGGTTGTTCAAATTAGAACTTCACATGAACCAATTGACAGGCCAGCTCCCCACAGAATTGGGCCTGTTGACGTCGGTGACGCGACTTTCACTTCACGACAACCCGTTGACAGGCACAATCGGGAGTGAACTTGGGTTGATGAGGAATCTGTGGCACTTGGATTTGAGTAAGACGTCATTGTCTGGGTTGATCCCCTCGGAAATTTGTAGTTTGCCGCGTTTGGAATCCGTCAAAGTGGATTGTCAATTGGTGAAATGTAATTGTGAGGGTACATGCCGATGCCAATAATATCAATACCGTACAGGAGCGTTCCTCAATCGTGCATGACTTTTTAAAAATCCGACCCTAATTTAGGGACGGTTTGGGGGAATTCGTCCTTAAATATAGGGACGGTTTCGAAACCCGACCCTAAATCGAAACCCGTCCCTAAATTAGGGACGTTTTTTCAGAAACCGTCCCTATTTTTCAGAAAACGTCCCTATTTTTAGGGTCGGTTTCGAAACCCGACACTAATATTGGTGCGTTTTCAATGTATTTACCAGGCAGTCCCATTTCTATTTAGGGACGTTTTTCAAACCGAACCCTAAAACGAAACCCGACCCTAAATTAGGGACGGTTTTTCAGAAACCGTCCCTATTTTTCAGAAAACGTCCCTATTTTTAGGGTCGGTTTCGAAACCCGACCCTAAAGGGAATCCGACCCTAAATCCGACCCTATTTTAGGGTCGGTTTCATGCACGATTGAGGAACGCTCCAGATACTTATCTTGCCACATTGGTCCGGTCGGGACGTGTTGGAGGAAACATACCTGACACCTCTTTACTATTGACTCGTGTATTAATCATCTAGTCCGGTTCGCATGCAAATTGATCATGCAAGGAACCGAGGGAGTTTTAGGTCTAAAGTGTTACGGGGGTCCTTATATCCAATTCAATCACAAGAATTGCTATGCACCACCAGAAAATCCTCACTTTTGCTTTTCAGCTTAATCTAAAACCAAATTACTCCTCCAAGGAAATCGGTAGCGAATGCTCCCCAGTCAATGGAAGCTTCCGGCTCACTGTCTGAGGTGGAGTCATCTCTGCCCATCAGGGGCGGGACTCCATCGACTTGATGGTGCTGGAAGTGAACTGCATGACCCTGCCGCGCAGCCTGGGAGGCTTGGCTTGACATGGGATGCTGAAAGTTCGACTGGCTGTAGGAGGTGGAGGGACCCTGAATCCACTCCTGCTCGAAGAGCTCCAGCTGGAGCTGGAGCTGGCGCCGTCACCACTGTGTTGGGCACTCCTTGGAGTAACTGCATCTGGTGTTGGTGGTATGTGGCATGAAGGACTTTTTCATGCCATTGAACTTGTTGATGGCCCATTCAGGCTTGGGGATCTTCGACTTCACCTGGCACTGTGGAAGTTTGTGATCTGGCTTCCACAACATTAGCAGGCTTCGCCTGGCTGTGACTGCTGGTAGAAGACAGCACTGGGAGCCCTTCCTTCATCGTCTTGTGATCAAAAGGAGTGGCTTGGATTGGAATATGGCTTCCGGTCCTTGGCCTTCCGTTGGTCCAACCATTCCTTGCTGGGCTTGAATCTGTCATGGGACAGCGTCTCTCTAAGATGATCAAGGGTATAGGGAACTGGATGGTACCGTCATGGCATAGGCTGCCTCAACGGTCTTCTGGTAATCTCCAAATCTTCCTTCTTGTAGTCCCCTCCACCTCCTACGAGCCAGTCGAACTTTCAGCAGTTCCCCATGTCAAGCCAAGCCTCCCAGGCTGCGCGGCAGGGTCATGCAGTTCCACTTCCAGCACCATCAAGTCGAGGAGTCCCGCCCCTGATGGGCAGGATGATTCCACCTCGACAGTGAGCGGAAGCTTCCATTGACTGGGGACATTCGCTACGATTTCCTTGAGCGCTCCCACTTTATGCAGAGGAGTGGAGGCATATGAGACATCACCGAAGAAAGCTATCACTCCGGCAACGGCCATGATCAGCTTGCTGAGGAGGTCCTGACGGTGTAAGCATCGGATGCCGACCTTATCCTCCAGCGGTACAATGATACACATAATATAATTGTCAGTCGTTCTGCCCACCCTGACACGTCTTCACACAGATCCCTTCGAAGGATCATCCCTGGAGTGGCCAAGACGATGACAGAGCTGCTGTTCCGATACAGCTGGATCAGAGATGATTCCGCTGCTTGTACCGTGGACCCAGCCGGCGTCAGCGGGAAGAATCAGCGAGGCAACTGTTATGAAGATTTCCAAAACCAAGACTCACTTTCAGTCGAAGAACAGAACCATCAATTGTCGTTTGAGTTCCCAGGAGTGGCAGATGCCGACTCACAGGAGTGGCAGAGCCAAATCTTGCAGGAGTGTCGGTCAAGAACCTCATTCCTGATGGAGCAAACACAGTGTATCCCGACAGTGGCAGTTCCATCCGAACTGTCTTGAACCAGGACATGATTGTCGCGCAGCGGCTCCTCCCAACCAATCGAGATGGCCACAATGTTGGAAGCACCAAGCTTACCAAAGAAGGTGACAAACCTTACGGCAATGGTTATCCAATCCAGGAGGCATCGCAAATATCAACGCTTTGTCTCTTGTTGTGGATGACTGCGTCAGGGCACAGATGGATCCTATGTCCTCAGGACTCAAGAGTCGACGACGCCATCTACCACTACCCCCAACTGGGATCCATACCAGGTATGGAGGACCGCCAAAGGTCTGTATGGCGTGTTGATTGAGCAAGACCTGCTGGATCACATGGCCCAACTAAACCAGTTTCCACCGAGTTCCAGCATTTGGTCCAGACGGTGGAGGGCAACCTCGAAGGCTTTACCAAGAACAAGCCAAGGGGGCATTTCTCGCAAGAAATTGTACCACAACCTCCAGCGCCCACCTTTGGAGGGATACCGCAACATGATCAGGACTGGTCAAATTCGATTGTCCCGTCAAGTTGGAGGAATCGATCGCGCCGAATTATTTTTCGGGAGCGACATGGGCAGCCAAGGGCTCTACTACACCAGCCGCCCGCCACCAGTGACCGACAGTATTCATACTGTACGGATGAGCTGGTGGCACCACCAGGTTCCTGACCGGATGATGGTTGTGTTTTATGTCTGTGAGATTGCTTCTAGCATCACTGACTTGCAAATCCGACACCGCGAATAGCCTACCTGACCAACAGGAAAGGAAAATCATTCTATGCCGCATTGACAAGATTTTTTATCGTACGGAAATAATGATTTCTAGATCAAAGAAATCCAGTGGACCTGAGTTCAAGAGCCTGATGGATCCTGTCAAGACGACATGGAGCTCAAGCTCAACCAGGAGCGGCTCAGACTCACAGTGGTCCCGCCGAGCGGAACATCCGCACCTTGAAGGAGCGCATCCGCGCAGCCTGGCATTCAACCCCGTTCATGGTGATGCCAAAGGTGATGATGTGGAATTGGTGTACGATGTTAATTGTAACTCAACCTCTTCCCCGCGCTTGATGGAATCTAAAGTGTATCCTCCCAGGAAGATCTTGGAGGGTCGGACAACAAGCTACAAAGATATTAGTAACTTTTGGGAGCTATTGTTCGCTTCAACGAACCAGAAAGCTCAATTCATGGAGCCCAGGCGATTGGATTGCATCTATCTCCGTCCCTTGATGGACAACCACAAAGGTGGACACAGTGTGATGATCTGTCACCTTTGAGTATCACGCGCAGCATGTCCCATCCTGCCGATGCCTCGTCAGTTATTGATGTGTCGAAAAGAAGGCATACGTGAGGGTAGAAACCACTAATCTTTCAACCGTGACTTTGTGAATTTTTTACCTGTAGGTTTGCCTGCAGGAAGTGGATGGTGTCAATGGAAATGAGAGCTACCCCAAGCTATGGACTCTCGGACGAAGATTCAGTGGAATCCACGGAATCAGATGAATGAGGATGGAACCCCCAGGGCTAGTACCAAGGCACAACAAGTATGCAACAGACATTGACTCCGATGAAGAAGGAGAAGAAGGGATTCAAGGAATCCCAACAAGAACAAGTCCAGACAACCCTACAGTTGAAGAGACGGCACCAGCAGTGGATACCAATGATGGAAACCTCGCTGGGCCAGCCAAGGCTCCAAGCTTCCCCGAGTTGGAATTAGACGTTCAGCCGGATTGCTACAGCCGAAGCAAAGAAAGGAGTAACCTCGTCCAAGATGACGAAGGAAGCAACCACTACTGTAGAGACAGAGACAAGCAAGCACCTAGCTTGTTCATGGACCCTGCAATCACAGGATGCCACAGCAGAAGTCAATGATGAGAGCAGCCATGCCCAACAACATCTTCTACCCAGGTCTGAAAGTGTGGGGCAACAAAGCCAGAAAGGCGGCGCTCAAAGAGATGGACCAGCTACACAGCAGAGTGTTTTCAGCCAGTCGACCCAAACAAATGCAGTGATTCTGAATTGAAAAAGGCACAAATGGCACTCATGTTGTGTGATGAGAAAAGGGATGGCACGGTCAAGGCCCGTGCATCTACAATGGGAAACCTACAAGGGTGTACCATCAGAAAAAGATGCCAGAAGCCCAAAGTTTCACTTGAGGGTTTGATGTATCCATGTGTTGTCGATGCATCTGAAGATAGGGAGTGATGTCCCTGATGTTCCCAATGCGTTCATCCAAACCCGATGCCAAAAGTCAAACAAGGTGAAGACAGGGTCCTCAGATCATTGAGGGAACCCTTGCAGATTTACTTGTCGAAATTGATCCTGACACATATGCCTCTTTCGACATACAAAAGGGACGTCCTTCCTCTATGTTGTCGTGGGAGAGCCATTTATGGCATGGTTTGGCAGCACTTCTTTGTACAAGCTATTCAGAAGTGCCTCGAGCAAATTGGATTTGTGTTCAACCAATACGATCCTTGTGTGGCCAACCGATGATCGAAGGTACCAACAAACAATCCGATTCCATGTTGACATCTAATGTCAAGCCACAGAATGAAGTTGGTGAATACCGACTTTGGAATGGTTCAACGCTAGGTATGGAACCTATGGAGCCGGTGAAGGCAACCCGTGGTCCAAAGCATGACTACTTGGGGATGACGGTGGACTTTTCCGACCCAGGAAAGGTTGATCATGAATGATATATTAATCAAGAAGATGTTCTCAGAGTTTCCAGTGGACTTGGGGCAATGAAAAAGGACCAAGTGCAGCTCCTGCTGACCTATTCAGCTCTGGTGATGGCACCATCCTGAATGACAAGAACAGGGAAACCTATCATACCTTTGCAGCCAAGCTGTTGTTCCTGTGCAAGCGTGCTCGACCAGATGTGCAGACTCTCACTACTGTGTTATGCACTCGTGTCAGAAGCCCAACATCTGATGATTGGGACAAGTTGGTCCAAGGCCTAAGTTTTTGGATCAGACGGCGCAGGACAAGTTGATCCTACACATTGATGACATACGCATCATCACTTGGTGGGTGATGCATCATTTGCAGTCCATCCTGATTACGTTCCCATACAGGAGGAGTCATGTCCTTTGGAAGTGGCGGGTGCTGTCTGTGTTCTGCGAAACAGAAATTGAATTCGAGGAGCAGCACGGAAGCGGAATGATTGGAGCTGACGATGTCATGTCGCCCATGTTGTGGGCAAAGTTGTTCCTTGAAGAGCAGGGATCGTTGTGAAGGACAACATCCTCATGCAGGACAACAAAAGCACGATCATTCTTGCCGAGAATGGCAAAGGCAGTTCGGGCAAAAGAACTCGGGCTATCAACATTCGTTTCTTTTTTATCATGACCAGATTGGAAAAGGCAACCTTAGAGTTGTGTACTGCCCAACCTTGGAGATGCGTGGAGATTTTTTCACGAAGCCCCTTCAGGGCAAGCTCTTCCACGAGCACAGGGCTTTCATCATGGGGCATCCACCCCTTGTTTGATTGCCTAATTTATTTTATTCGTTCCACGGTAGCCACTTAGGGCACCGTGCAGGAGTGTGTTGGAGGAACATACCTGACACCTCTTTACTATTGACTCGTGTATTATCATCTAGTCCGGTTCGCATGCAATTGATCATGCAAGGAACCGAGGGAGTTTTAGGTCTAAAGTGTTACGGGGGTCCTTATATCCAATTCAATCACAAGAATTGCTATGCACCACCAGAAAATCCTCACTTTTGCTTTTCAGCTTAATCTAAAACCAAATTACTCCCCAATAAGCTGCAGTATTACTAGCAAATAAACAGGATGACCTCAAAGCGACACGTGGGCATGGGCCCATGGCTTTTCGCCGAGCATCTGGCAGGCGATTGCGCAACGAACAACTCAACTGGACTCATAGACTCGTTTCTGGAAGCAAACGCAAGGATCCAGGAAAGGAGAAAATTTGTTGAAGTTCGAGCTGCGTGGGGCCCCGAGCAGGCAATATCTCGAAGGGGTCGTATCAGCGACACTGGCAATCTATGATCTATGTACGATGTAGAACGGTAAATGTTGAGAGCTTTCAGTTGCCTCAAGCACCCGGAGAAGGCAAATGAAGGCGCATGCACGGGTTCGCCAGGCAAGAGTCACTATTGACTCTTCTACATGGACTAGTAAATAAGTATAGTGTGACTATCCCCACAAACAGCCATTCATTCCCCATTCAGGTGGAGGGCTGGCTCTCCTCACCCACAAGCTGACCATCACTTTTCTGATCCTTGACTTCCAACAGCACCATACTCATACTAGAACAGTTACACCAGTCACATCCACAGAGCAGGTTGCTGCAGTCAAAAGTAAGGTTGTTGGCAGAACACAAGCTCTCAGGGATAATGCCCGAAAGATGATTTCCATGCAACCAGACTTCACCATAAGGTGCAGAGAAAGGAACAATGCCGAGTTCCAAGGGCACTGTGCCTGTCAAATCATTGTCATGCAGCCACAACAGAATTAAACCTGTAAGTACACCAAACTCTGTGGGAACGGTTCCTGTTAGGTCATTCATTTCCAAGGTCAACACGAGCACTTGCTCACACTTTCCAAATTCACTTGGGACTGTGCCCGACAATGCATTCGCACCAAGCCACAAACTAGACAACTTTGCTAGCAGGCCAAGTTCTGTTGGGATCTAGAGGGGGGAAAAGAAACCACGGACTTCATGCTAAAAAGAAGAAGCAACTTGACATGTCTAAAAAATAGACTTACAGTCCCAGTAAAGGAGTTGTCCGACAGTGACAAGGTGTCCATGGATGCCATGTTGCCAAGCCATCTAGGGATTGTCCCTAAAAGACCTGAGTTGTCCAGTTGCAGAACTAACATGTCCGTAAGAGCTGCAAGCTCAACTGGGATCTAAAGGAAATCACAGAGAACATTGAGCACAGCTAGCTAGTAGGACACATGCAAATAACCAAGCACCCTGTCCCCAAACACCAATGTAAAAACTTACAGTGCCACTCAACATATTTCTGTTAAGATCTAATACTTCCAAGAAAGTCAATTGCCCAAGTTCTTTCGGAATGGTCCCTGTGAAGAAGTTTTCACCAAACCATATAAACTGTAAATCAGGCAGCAGACCCAGTTCTGTTGATAACTACAAGATGAATAATAGGTAATGAGAACAGAAAACTGTATTCATAAAACACAAGACTCATAATGTACGTACTGGTCCTGTCAGCTGATTTCCTAATAGAGCCATGCCTCTCATGGAGTTGGTAAGGGAAATCAGGGATGATGGAATCTGGGAACCATAGAATGTGGAAAGAAAAGATGATTTGACAAAATAAGATATTGCAGAACAATCCGTCAGATAGATCATAGGTTGCCACTTACAGTGCCGGTCAATGAGTTGAAGGCAAAGTAGATAACTCCAAGTTTTGACAAGCTTCCAAGTGCTGCAGGAATGGAGCCATAAAGGCCACAACTGTTCATGGAAATATACTCCAAACTGGGAAGACCAGAGAGCTCTTCTGGGATGGTGCTGGTGAGGTTCAATCCATCCAAAGCCAAGCTCCTAAGTTCGGTAAGCAAGTAGAGCTCTGGTGGGATCCCTGATCCCAGCAGGTCATTCAATGAAAACCAAAAGTGCTTGATGATTCCAGCTCCATGGTACAAGATGCCATCCTCTAGATATCCAGTTGGATCTTGCTCGCAAGGGTTGATGTGATCCAGTGGGATGTGTATGCTGGCCTCAGAAGTGTAATACCATTGCTCTAAACTTGAATACCAAATGCACTCATGAACACTGTGGTTTAGCCAATTGTCACTGAACTGCCATTTTTCTTCACTGTTGGCAAAATAGAAAGTTGCAAGTGCCAAACGTTGTACAACTCTCTCTTCTGTAAGGTTGTGTAGAATGTCAATCTCTTCCATGAGCCATTTGAATGCCGTCGACTGGGGAGATTCTGGGTCCTCCAGAATTGCAGAGACTGTTGAATCAGGGAAAAGTGATAGCCAGTATTCTGAATAAGACGAGGGTCCCTGAGATGGGTTGCTGCTGGGCGACTCACTAGGCGCGGTTGTTGGGACAAGACGCTCTTGATGTGGTGGAATCAGGATGGCTACTAAAATGATAGTGATGGCCAAGAAGGCAATGAATCCCAAGAGGACTTTAGTTTTGAATTGCTTCATCCGTTCTTTTCTGTTGTTGATGATGTTGTCCGGATTATAATCTTGAGCTTGGGGCAGATTCTGAGGGGTTGTCTCTTGTTGAACCAAATTGGCAACAGCCAAGCCACTATTGTGATTTTCTAGTTCGATCGTAGGTGGTTGAGCAATCGCTGGTTCAACTTGTGTCTCTGCTGTTTCCATATTTTCCTCGATGCCTTGAAAATTTCCTCCACATGCGTAGGCTCCTGGGTGTGATTGGGGTCTTCTGTTGGCAGTACTCGGTTGGGTTGGTGTCACAGGCAAAATTCCATCATTGCCATCACTTTGTACCGTATCGACCCGAACTACATGGTTGTCAATGAGTCCAATTTTGTTGGCCTCTCCAGGACCTCTGTGGAAACGTCATTCGTGGCAAAATACTTAGGAGATGATACACCGAGGAATAGGAGACGATCGAAATGATTTAAGAGACGAAAGCAATCGTCTCCTATATTTAAGAGGCGATTCAGTAGGAGACATTACAATTAGGAGACGAAAATTTCGAAATAGGAGACGATCCGAAAGATTTAGGAGACGATACCATACAGTTTACATGGTACACTTAGGAGACGATCCGTTGAGAATAGGAGACGATCCGTTGAAAATAGGAGACGTTTTAAGAGGAGACAAAAGATTTAGGAGACGATCCGTTTCGTCTCCTATATTTAGGAGACGAAATCCATTAAATAGGAGACGATCAAAAGGATTTAGGAGACGAAAAGTAGCACGACTTGAGTTTCCACAGAGGTCCAGTGCTTGAAAGAGTGCTCACTTTTTGTTCCTCGTGGTGGTTCTTCTGCTCAATCATGTCTACATCGGATGGAGAACCTTCAGTCAAAAACGATTGTGCCTCATCTTCATTCTCCTGCTTCTCAATGATATCTACAGCAGTCAATGGCAAATTGTCTTCTGGAGTGGCACTATTTTCATGTCGGTTGAGACCTGCATCTTGGAGATGAGCCTCCACTATTTTGACCAGGTCGAGCGAAGATAAACTTTCTTCCTCGTAACCCTGTGTCCCTGTCATGGCTGAAGCAGCCTCCGTGCCTTTGTTTGCTTGCACTAGCTCCGGATCTCTTAGCCGTGATTCCACAAGTTTAGCTAGGTCCAGACGATCCAATCCTTCTTCCATAGTTTGGGGGGCTGTCTCACTAGAGTTTTCCTCGGATGCTCTTGCTTCTTGTGCAAAAGCAAGTAGCTTTTGATGTTCGGCGCCACCAGAAGCACTTACACTGATAGCCTTTTTGATAACCTTGAATTCTTCGGAAAGTGATTCTGTTGTTGACTCATTGAGATCTCGCTGTGTTCTGGTTGCTTCTGTATGACTTGTTGGCGGTTGTGGATGGCTTTCTTCTGCCTCAGCCACACCAGTATCAGTATCACTGGGCATCGGCACAGCTGAGTGTTGATCATCATCACATTATGTTGTTTGACTGCATGGTTATAAGTTTTGACAGCTTGGGTCCTTTTGTTCTGTACCACCAACACTTTTGCGTTGGACAACCACAGAACTACAAATAGGTCTACTAGCTAGTCTGGTGGCTGGTTTTTGCACCAGCTCGCAATCGTCCTTTCATTTTTCGGTGGTCTTTTTGAAGCTTTTTTGAGGCTGAAAAAGTGCGTGAGAGTTTGACAGCGGGTCAACAGCACCACAATGTAGCTAGCCAGTTTAGTCTTCGTGTTGCTATGATACAATCAAGGAAAAGAATAAAAACACGAAGTCCTCTGTCACTCAAACAGCAAACAGTGAGTTGTTGTGCCTGTTGTTGCACCTCTCTTGTCTATGAATAGGGACTCAGTGGTAGGTGCACAAAGAGCTGGGATAGGAAGCCCTGTTTGGTGGAGACTCCCTCCACTGGCGCTGGAAAGGCCAGCCCAAGGCTGGCAGCAAATGCTATTCAATCAACTGTGGAGCAATGATTGAACAGTCTATTGCTCAATACCCTGCCACTGGCCATACAGGATCCTGCCTACTGCAGAGCTCTACTTGTGCTGTTGGAGTCTGTTTCTCGGTCAACTAACTTCTTCATTACTTCTTTACTTTAACTATAACATGAAACACAAACTCTGATTTTGAGTGAAACTCCATCCAGCCATGCAGGATAAGATCCATGCATCTCTTTGGCTGGTATATACCAAGCATATCTTTCTAGATAGGTCATGGCTGAGGAAACTTCATCATCCTTCCTTGCAAGAGGAACTCTATTGTCCTCTACACTCTGTTCCTATCTTGTCTGATGGTGACACAGCTCAATGTACTAAAGAGTGTACAGATGCAGCAGCGATCTTTCCAGCAGACTGAGCCAGAACAGCTGCGCCGCACCCAATACTATGGCTGCTATGGCATAATCCATCGCTCCCCACCAATTGGAGTCTGGATGGGTGCAACAAGCTTGCACATCATGGGGCTTCCCTCGATACTTCCATGAACTGGGAGCATCTGACTGCTCAGTGTGGACTTGGTTGCTTACCTCAGGGGTTTACCAACCCTTGGAATACATCAAGGTGTCCATTGCTGAGCACCAGCTGGCACATTGGGAGGCGCATCAACATGGGCTCTGTGATCAAAACTCCAGTCTGTGTTCAGGGAAGAAAGGGGTGCATTTGGATTGGTCCTATTGGACCGTGTGATTGGGATCTCCCTTGGTCTCCCCATACTTGCATCACAGCTCTTTGGCTTAGGAGGTATCTATCTATCTCCCCATAAGGGACAGTGAGAACAATCTGGGCCATAACTGTTCATCTGGAGCCTCAACTGGGTAGTTATCGCAAGCAAGGATGCCGCGAGGAATTCAACGCAATCCAAGGAGACGACTGAGTGCGAGTAAGCAAGAGCGCGTCATCCAAGGACGACGATGAGTGCGAGTCAGTGTGGTCAACCAGTGGTTGGATCCTTCAAAAAAACTGAGTACAAAGCAGAAAGAAGTCTTCTGATAACTCAGTCAGGCAGCGAAATCGACACTATTGTAGCGCCGCCAACACGGACAACGTTGCCAAGCTCGCTGACCAATCATTCGATCAATGCACATCAACATGATTGCGCAGGGCAACGCTGGTCTCAGTGGTAGGCTGAGGCCCAGCATGCAAGAGCTTTGCTCAGACAGGGGTATGCTGGTTCAGATGGCCGCCATCAATCAACAGGCCACTGGATAAGCAGAAAGGCTGCTTCAGAACGCAAGGGGTCTGACAAAGCCAAGCTGTTGGACTCCTCCACAAGCTTCACAGACATGAAGAATTGGGACAGGGTCCTGGGAAAGTCCATCAAAAAGACAAAGCCAGAGATGAAAGAGTCTGCTCAGTGCTTGAGGTGCAAGCCAGATGTCCATGTGTCCCCGATAGCTAGCTGGGTTGGGCCTCAAGGCCCAAATCTTTAAACTTCTAAGCCCCCTGCGGTGGCCACCTTTATAATTCTAGTCTTAAAAAAATTTTCTAACCGGTATTGTCGATTACAGAAGTAAACAGGATTGGTTACAGAAAGGACAGCGGGACCGTCGTGCGACATCGGCCTCCGCTGTAGAGCCTTAGAGGAGATTAGCCAATCAGGTTTGATCTTTTCGGCTGACGTCAGTTGCAATACACGGCTCTTAGCTTATTCGCGACTCGATCCTAGATAGGGTTGAGTTCGACTCATGACCGAGTCTCTCTGGAATAGTCATTGAGACAGGTTCTCAATGACCGCCTAGTCATACTAGGTTGATGATGAAACATCGCTCTAGATATTTAGCCAGCGTTAGTACTTCCACGCTACTAGATCCAGGCTAGACAAACCTTCCACGCGTTCCGTTTTGGGTCGTGGAGAGACGTAGGATTACTACTACAACCTACTCTATCACACTTTATAGCTCCCGGGAAGCCAGATCTACGATTCCTTGATGATGATCTCTCTCGTTGATTAGTTTTCATAGCTTTCTAATCTCTCTCATAATTTTCATTCTCTCAAACTCAAACACTCGAAAGATCTTTTACACTAGTTTTAGCGTAGTGCATTTGTTAAACAACACAATAGCTTTCAGCTACCCTCAACCTATTCCTTCACCATGAAGATGGCTCAAGGAAGCATGCGTTCCGCAACTTCGAGAACAGTTGCGTGACAAACCCATCTTCCTTCGTCGACAATGAGAAGAAAGAGATCGACGATACTCGTACAACACCTTGCAAACTTCGCAACCATGTTGCCAAGCGCAAATCAGAAAACTCTGACAATGAGGACAACTCCTCTATCAATTTCAATCACTTGATGGAGATCTCTATCTGAGGATTAGGCCAGGATGATGACTCAACGGAACCTGTTCCGATTTTCCATAACAAGTGATTGAAGATATCTCACTAACTAAAACAAGAATTGTTTGCAACTGATAACTCTACGGCAAATTAGATGATTGCCTAGAAGCTGCTCAAACTAGACTCTTATGATCTATTTAGCATCGTTAACCTCGTCCGTGTGCCAACCACCTCGTAAACTCGCAAGACAAGAGACCTCAAACCCATCGTTTATGTTAGTTTAACAAGCGAGAAAAGGGAAACCAAAACCCGTTACACTCCGTTGCTTACTGGATACAGGAGCATCTGGAACTTGATTGCTCAATACTCATGCTAAGAAATTACGCATGAAGGATCTTGGGGGCGTCCAAACGATGTGGATACCCCTGCAGGAGAATTAAACAACAGCACGAAGTGCAAAGGTGCATTCATGATTCCTGAATTCCACGAAGATAGAATTATCGAGTGGACTTACACGTCACCAAGAGCTTGGGGCGTATGACATGATCATAGGTCGAGACATTCTCTCTGACTTAGGTTTCAAGTTCGATTTCACTACCATGTCAGTGGAATGGGACGGCGCATCTATTCCTATGAAAGGAGCGAACCAATGAAGAAGAAAACTTTTTCATTCCTGATCCTGCCCTGTATGAACAGTGCAGATCTCTCAAGAGATTCTTGATGCGAATACGAACAAGCTGACTTAAGGCAGGTTTGCCAAGTCAAGATCAGTTAAACACGGAAGAGAAGAACAGCTTCATCCTTACTGACGAAGTACTCTGACCTATTCGATGGACTTTGGAAAGTGGCAGATGGACGACTACGAAGTAGAACTTCTCCCTGATGCTAAACCCTATCATGCAAGGGCTTACCCTATTCCACGGGTCCATACCAACACTCTTAAGATGGAGGTTGAACGTCTCTGCGAGGCAGGAGTACTCAAGAAGGTAAACCGTTCCGAGTGGCGGCACCAACTTCATCATTCCCAAGAAGACGGATCTGTACGATTCATCTCTGGTTTCCGGGAACTGAACAAAAGGATTAAGCGGAACCTTATCCTATCCCAAAAATACAGGACATGCTCTTGAATCTAGACGGATTCAAGTACGCTACTAGTCTAGACCTGAACATGGGATACTACACATCGAGCTGTACCTCAATCGAAGCAACCTGTACCATCGTCTCCCGTGGGGAAATACGAGTACCAGAGGTTGGCAATGGGCCTATGTAATAGTCCCGACATCTTCAAGAGAAGATGGGAACACTAATGCACGACCTAGAATACGTCCGTGCATACATTGATGATCTACTCATCCTAACTAACGGCGATCTGCAGATCACGTTGAAAAGTTGGATGAAGTTCTCCGAAGGCTTCAGAAGCCGACTAAGATCAATGCTACCAAGTCCTTCTTCGCAAGAGGAGAACTTGAGTACCTAGGTTACTGGATCACTCGAGAAGGGATCCAACTCATAACAAAAAAATAGACGCGATTAAGAATATCGCTCCTCCTACCAACAGGAAGGAACTCCGTAGATTCATTGGATAGTGAACTACTTCGAGACATGTGGATTAGACGATCACAGTACTGGCCCACTCGTTTCGTTGACTTCCAAAACAACGAAGTGGAAATGGGAAGCCGAACACGACAAGGCCTTTAGCCAGATGAAGAAATCATCAGCAAAGAAAACTTGCTCGCCTACCCTGACTTCAAAGATACATTCGTTATCCACACGGATGCGAGTGATACTCAACTGGTGCGGTAATTTCCAGAAGGGAAAACCATCGCGTTCTACAGCAGGAAGCTCAACCCTGCTCAGACACGTTACACAGTTACCGAGAAGGAACTTCTCAGTATCGTAGAAACTCTGAAAGAGTTCCTAACATTCTTCTAGACAGAAGATCGTTGTACATACGGACACACAAGAATCTTACATGTCAGAACTTCAATACCGATCGCGTAAGGATGGCGCCTTATTCTGGAAGAATACGGCCCTGAACTACGGTACATCAAGGGCGAACAGAACATCGTCGCTGATGCGTTGTCGAGACTTAACATCTCCAACAACGACGGTTCTTCAGAACAGAAATGGACGCCAGCGAGATCGCGAACTCATGGCTGCAGACGAAGAGACTTCCCTAGCGAGTTCCCTCTCTCGTTCCCGAGATCGAACATCGTCAGAAAGACGACAACCATATCAAGAAACTCCTCAAGGACAAGCCAAACGACTACAAGAAGCAATCTTTCCCCAGAGGGGATAAGTCTTACGACTTAGTAGTTAAGGCGATAAGAATCGTCGTACCTAAAACTATGCAGAAGAAGCTGTTGAATGGTACCATGGTGTGCTGATGCATCCTGGCAAGACTCGCACAGAACTAACCATCAGCCAACACTACACCTGGAAGGACTGCGCAAGACTGTGCAGGCCGTATGTCAGCGTTGCCAAAGCTGCCAGATGAACAAACCCAAGACGCGTAGCTGGGATTGATGCCTCCAAAGACTTGCGGGAGATCCTTGGGAAAGACTATGTATTGACCTGATAGGCCTTACAACGTTGGGGATCCAAGAAAAAGAATTCCTGCACACTTCATTGCTTGACAATGATTGATCCCGTAACCGGATGGTTCGAGATTGCAGAGATCGCTCCAAAGCAGCAGACGAAGTAGCCATCGTCCTAGAACAAACGTGGCTTACTTGGTATCCATGGCCTGCTGAGTTATCATGGATAGAGAGCGAGTTCCGCGCAGAGCGAAAGACCTCCGGATGAATATGGACTTCGTCGCAGTTCATCACCACGCGTAACCCTCAAGCCAACTCTAGGTCGAGCGTGCTCATCAAAACATACGCAACTTGATCGCTGTTCAAAAACTCAAGTGCCAAGACGACCTCGTGAATGGATCCTGGGATGGAGTCCTCACGGCGGTTCGCTTTTCAATGAATGCCACGATTCATACCACTTGCTGCAACGCCCGCACAGCGGTTCAATCGTGACGCGATTACAACGTCCGGTTCGAAGCCAACTGGAAGTACATTAAGGAACGTCGCCAACGACTAATCCAACAAAACAACGATAGGGAAAACGCAACGCGTGTCCCTCATCAATACAATGTCAACGATACTGTGAGTTCAACAGTATCAGCACCGCAAGTACGGTCAGCCAAAGTACAAAGGTCCTTACACTATAGACCGAGTCAATGACAATGGCACTGTACGGCTCCAACATGCTACCGCCAACGCGGCACAGTCTACCAGACTTGGAACATAAGTATATACACCCATACAAGGCCTGATCCCCTTGTAGGATTGCCATCGTGCGACGCACATGTCTACATCCAAATCTCATGAGAGTGCCCCGCACTTTAAATCATATGTTTTCCTTGTCCGACTGCTGTCGCGCCTTCTGTGACCCTTGTCAGGGGGCGAATGCATACACGGCTCTTAGCCTTATTCGCGACTCGATCCTAGACAGGGTTTGAGTTCGACTCATGACGAGTCTCTCGTGAATAGTCATTTGAGACAGGGTTCTCAATGACCGCGCTAGTCATACTAGGTTGATGATGAAACATCGCTCTAGAATATTTAGCCAGCGTGGAGTACTTCCACGCTACTAGATCCAGGCTAGACAAACCTCCACGCGTTCCGTTTTGGATCTGGAGAGACGTAGGATTACTACTACAACCTACTCTATCACACTTATAGTCTCCCGCGGGAAGCCAGATCTACGATCCTTGATGATGATCTCTTCTCGTTGATTAGTTTTCATAGCTTTCTAATCTCTCTCATAACTTTCATTCTCTCAAACTCAAAACACTCGAAAGATCTTTACACTAGCTTTTAGCGTAGTGCACAGTCGTGTTTCGCCATTTCGGTCGTGTTTCGCATTGGATTTCTCTGTGTCAGCGGTGATCGATCTCCATTTGGGATTTCTCTGTGTCAGCTCGATCAGTCTCTCGTGGTGTTGTTTTCGTGTTGTTTTCGTGTTGTTTTCGAAAGACCGACAGAGCATGCATCCAGAGGATTACCAACGGTCCAGAGGATTTCGAATTTGAGCAAGATAGTGAAGCAAGACAGTATAACCGAGGTCATCCCATCCGTAATAGTAGCCATAGAGGTACTTACCGCACGCCGAGGATATAGCCGCTTTCATCGCAATCCGAGGAAGCTGTACTCGTATAGCCGCAGAGGTATTCAACGCCATCCTACCGCAGAGGTATCGCAAGCCAAGGATAGCCGCAGAGGTATTCAACGCAATCCAAGGACGACGATGAGTGCGAGTAAGCAAGAGCGTGCAATCCAAGGACGACGATGAGTGCGAGTCAGTGTGGTCAACCAGTGGTTGGATTTTTCAAAAAAACTGAGTACAAAGCAAGAAGAAGTCTTCCATAACTCAGTCAGGCATGCAATCGAACCCTATGGTAGCGCCGCCAACTCGGACAACGTTGCCGAGCTCGCTGCCGAATCATTCGATCGAATGCACTTCAACATGATGGGGCAACGCTGGGCTCAGGGGTAGGTTGAGGCCCCAGCATGCCAAAGCTTTGCTCAGACAGGGGTTATGCTGGTTCAGATGGCCGCCATCAATCAACATGCCACTGGAAAGAGAAAGGCTGCTTCGAAGCAAGGCGGTCTGACCAAAGCCAAGCTGTTGGACTCCTCCACAAGCTTCACAGACATGAAGAATTGGGCCAGGGTCCTGGGAAAGTCCATCAAAAAGACAAAGCCAGAGATGAAAGAGGTTCTGCTGCAGTGCTTTGAGGGCCAACCAGAAGGCCATGTGTTCCACTCCGATTAGCTAGCTTGGTGGTTGGGCCTCAAGGGCCCAATCTTTAAACTTCTAAGCCCCCTTGCGGGGGCCCATCCTTTTAACTTCTAGCTTAAAAAAATTTCTCAACAGACTAAATTTTTATGCAGAAGTGGGTGGGCCTGCTACATTGTGGTGCTGTTGACCCCCTGTCGCTGCTGTACTGTAGCTAGTACGTACACAAGGTGAGTTGAAGGTATTAAATCCTTCCCAACGAATGTTAATTATTGGATCGTGCCTGTTCACCAAAGCCCGGAATTATGTACAGTTACTAGTACTCAAAAACTGAGTACCAGTACGGTTTTTCTCGAACCTTTGAGGTAGACGCACCGTTACTCATACGGTATTCACAGACTTACTACCAGGTACTATACATTTAGAGAGGGAGTCGAGTCGGCCGACATTCGCGGGATCAAGCAGTTCTCACAATTTCGATCGAAACACGACCTTGGGATACCGGTTGCCTCGAAGATTAAGATTAAGATACCGGACCGATGTGCTGTTGAAATTCACACCTTGGTGTGGATAGACCACCAGAGGAGAGATGTTTGGTGTGTGCCTGAGCTTCATAGAGCCAAGGCGGCCATCAGCAGAGACAACAATAACTTGAAGCGCCCAGCTAGCCAGCTCCCCACCGGTACCGGTACGGTGCGGATGCATGTGCCGGTACCATACCAGCTTCACTAGCGTTTGTGAAATAAACGCTATCTCTAATGAAATTGGTTGGGTGCAGGCAAATTTCGCGAGAGGCACGACAGATTTGTCCTTTCTCATTATTTTTCAAGCGGTGTCTCTTTTGGGGCAGACTCTCGCTCACTCTTCCAAGGCAACCATGGCATCCTGCTCCTCTTGATTGCCTCCCTTTTAACATTTTATAACCACCAGTAAATCGTCTCCATCGATTAGAAGATCTTGACCTAGCTCTTTTCTCATTCAAGTTCCCAAGGCGCATCTTCCAGGGCCTCAATCTTGAAGCACATTTTTCAGTGATTGCTGCCGCCAGGGTAGCAACACAACAAGGAAAAGATGGTAGCAGCTGATACTGATACCGACACGGTTCCCACGATGGAGGTGGAGAAAAGTGGAGAAGAGGGAAGTACCTGGGTCAGCATGAGTCAACTGATGCAACTGAAATCCCTCCTGGCTCAGCTAAAGGATAGCCGGGATAACTCTGAGGCGATGGTTCGGGAGTTACGTTCCGAATTGGCCGTGTTACGTGAGCATCAGCAGCACGGTCGAGCTGCGAATCAACTAGAACCGCCCATGCAGCCGCAAGAAGATCAGCCAACGGCAAAAGGAACAGGGGGGTCTCCCCCTGATCCGTCCCTACAAGCAGCCAATCAAATCCAACAGAAGCGCATCCAGGAGCTCTCCCTGGAACTAATTGATGCCAAGAAGGAGATACTTCGATTGCAAGGCGAGAATACTGATCTGAGGCATACCAACAAGAGACTCGAGAAGTACGCCAAGGAAGACGAGAATCCTTTGGAGCACTCCGAAGATGTTCGCAGGGAAATGCGTCGCATGAAGAAGAAAATCAACAAAGCCGTACGGCAGTGTGAGAAATTCAAAAAGAAGAAACAGAATCTGGAACATGAGCTCAGAACCAGTCGTTTTCGCGAGGAAGAAGCTGTCGTCTTTCTGAGGCGAATTCGTAGCTTCTATTACATGATCTGGAGAAACAACGTTGTCAGAGGCAGCGGTGGATACGTCTCCAATAGAATCACCGTGGTGCCTTCCGGAGGCACTCCAGCAGGTGCGACTGATCTCAAGGGAATGGTAGATTTGGACAAACTTATGCTGGAGAGTGGTCTGTTGGAAACGGATGAAATAGGCAAGGATACCCAAGACGACAAGCGCCCGTACCGGCCCTCGAGGACCAGTTTCCAGCGGAGCAACTTAGTGGCGGCGGAAGTTGCCAAACGAAACGCCATTGCCGCGAGCACCAAGTCATCGCAAGCCTCAACACAACAATCTGTTAAACCAGTGGTGGGCACGGGCGGCATGGAAGTCCCACCGCATCCACGAGGGCCCTTGTCTGCAGTCAAACCTTTGGAGAGCCCCAAAGCGACCGATGCACGCCAGAAGCTAGATCAAACGCCAGCTGGCAGATTCATCACACTTCACGAGACGAGACTGCAGGCAGAAATTACACAAAACGCCGACAGGATTCGATCGCTGGAGGAGGAACTAAGCAAGGAGAAGCAGAAGAAGAACGATCCTGGAAGCGAAACCAAGCTAGCCGAAGAGTGCAATGTCTTGCGAAAGCAACTGGAAACCAAGGAAAATGATATGCGTATCATTGTTACTAAGCTGCGAGAATCCAGCGTCCTCAATTGGAAATTGCACGATTCGTCCAAGCGACAAGAAGAGCACATTCTCTATCTGGAAAACCGACTGGAAAACTACAGAGGAACTCCTATCAGTGACACACAACTCGCGCAGGGAATAGCGCCGTTGGAAGAACCGGCAGCAACAGCCAATACGGGCAGGGCCAAATCTCGGCGAAAGGGGCCCACGGCAAAGTCGTACGCCTCGGAAACAGCCCCTTCGACGGACTTGCAGTCGGAGGGCCCAAACGAACCATCCGCTGGTGGATCAACGCAGGAACCAAACGAACCATCCGCTGGTGGATCAATGAAAGGTGGGTCCAGCAAAGGCAAAAAAGATGCCAGCGCTGCTTCACAGGTTTCGTTCGTGGAGCAAGTGGCGAATGCCAAGGAAATCGCGCTCGAGGCAGCCGAGGTGCTATCTGCTCGGTCAAAGAAAACTTCTGTTGGCAGCTCATCTCCAAAGAGTTCCAATCAAGACATGGGATATCATGCCGAAGGCGATGAAGATGAGGAATCCGAAGAATCCAATGTCCCGGAGTTTATTCAGAAACGCAAGAGAATCCTGGAAGACGACAGACGCCGTCGCCGAGACGATGACGACGACGATTACAGCGATGACAGCGAATATGAAGGCCAACGCTCCGATATTTCATCATCGTCAAAGAGTGTCAATCGGTTCGCATCCCCAGAAACAAGATTCGTCCAGATATCGCCACAGGAGGAGTGGAAGAGGCGAAAACTAGCCGAGAAGAAGAACAAGAGAAAGCGAAATTTCAAGCTCAAAGGGGGGAAGGATGCCAGTGACAGTGGCGGCGACAGCAGACCCCCCTGGATGCAAAAGCTGCGCCCGAAAGCGGGCAAGAACATGCCTGGATGGATGAAAAATCTGAAAGGTGACGACGGTAGGCCGGAGCCACCATGGAATAAGTTTCGCAAGAAGAACGCAAACCAAAAATCCGAGCCAGAGGAAGATACTGACGTTCCAGAATACATGCGCAAGGCAAAGAAGATTGGGAAAAAGATGGCAAAAGAGGTTATTGTTACCACTGCAGGGACGACTACTCAAAGCAACGATCCGGCTGCTAGATACAGGGCAGCCCAGGCTGAAATGAACAATCGCGGGAACAACACTGATGATGACAACGACGAGGAAGACGACTATGACGAACCTGAGCGAGAGCCATCACCACCTCCCCGAGAGCCTTCTCCAGAGCCAGCACCGGCACCGGCTCCTCCTCCGCCACCAGCCCCCGCACCAGCTCCTCCTCCACCACCGGCTCCTGCTCCGCCTCCACCAGCTCCTGCTCCTCCACCACCGGCTCCAGCTCCGCCGCCACCTGCGCCGGCCCCACCGCCACCAGCTCCTGCACCCCCTCCAGCAAAGAAAAGCAGCCTATTTGATTCTGATAGCGATGATTCAGATTCGCCACCCAGGAAAGCACCCGCCCCTGCCCCGCCACCCGCCGCGGCGAAAAAGAGCAGCTTTTTGGATTCTGATTCCGACGACAGTGATGACAGTTCGTAGCTGTCGGTGCAGTAGATGTAACAGACTTAAGGATTCTTACATACAGCATGGTTTTCTAGCTAGAATTTATCATTACCCGAGTAGTGATTGAATTCATGGTGAGCAGACGAGGTGTACTTGAACGACACTCCAGGAAAGACTCACGGCAGAGATCATCGTTCTCTGCATGGGAATGGCACCCCAGTACCTTCCGGGAGCTTCATCCCAGATGGAGTGTGCTGCTATCACAACGAGGAATGATATCTGCTCGTTGTCTTTGTTCTACTTGCTACGGCCCTCTAGCTTATCTACCCAGAGGACTAAACTTCTCCATTGCAGCTCCTGCTCCACCTTCATCATTGGTTTCATCCATGACATAATCAGCTGCCTCCCTAGCCATTCCACACGCATTTCCAACTGCCACTCCAATGGCTGCCATTTCTAGCATGCCAATGTCATTTTCAGCATCTCCAATGGCTAGTAGCTGTGTACCAGGGTCAATGCCCAGTGATTGACACAGCTTTTGAACGCCCAACGCCTTGCTACAGCCTTGTGGCAGCAATTCTAACATGGTTGGAATGGCCTGTGTAACTGTGGCATCATTTTCATTTGCCATGGCTTCCAAGTCAGGCCTTACAGTATTGGTCAATGTAGCTTTATCCTGAAGGACAAACAGGATTTTGTGCAGGCCATTGGCATGTTCTGCCAGTGACGATATGGATGTTGGCTTGGGTTCTCCCCACTTTTCATGAATTTCTGCACACAGTGTTGGGTCCCCCCCTTTGTTGGAGTAGAGACTGTCGCCGTCGTAGCCCAGAAGAGTGACACCATGTTTTTCTGCCAATATCTCAGCCTTTTCCACTGCCGCTGCTGTAAGTTTCTGTTCAAAGAGAACATTGCCATTGCTGTCAATGCAGTATAGACCCTGAATAAAAACTCCAGGAAGTTGCGATAATAGCTCTCTGATTTCAGGACCCAAGCTGTCTAGTGCACCCTTTCGTGTTTTGCCAGTAGCCGGGAAGAAATACTGCAGCTTTTTGTGGCCACTGTCGTTGGCATTATTTGATGAGTCTACCTGGCTCACGGCTTTTCGAATTGCTGCTTCCGTCCTTGGGTGCACCCGTTGCTTTGAGGACAACAGTGTACCATCCACATCACTGGCAATTGCAATAATACTATCTTTGGCTCTTGCAATAGAGCTGTCATCATCTTTGTCTTCTTCTTGATTAGCTTGATTAGCACTGTCCCTGCTTGCAGTGTCATCCATTTCTTGTACCGTCTGAAGTACCAAATCGTGAAGCGAAGGAGCACCAGGGTCTTTGCCCGGCAAAACCGCAGAGCTCTTGGTATCTTGTTGTCGCTGATTCATTTGGTCTGATAATCCTTCGTGGATCTGCAGGAGATCCCATAGTTCATCATTCGCATACACCTCTGCCTTGTTGGGAGTATTTCCGAAGCCATTATTGGGGGGAGGCATTCTGAAAGGTATATCTGGATCAACCTTGTTGTCCTCGTCACTAGAGGAGCTTCCGCCTCGTGCTAACCCACCATATACTGGTATGGACAGTGTCGCCATGGTCTGTCTTCCCTTGATCACATTCCTTCTGTGGGACGACCCCATGTTGGCTAAGAATCCAGCGGCTCTCCTAGTGGAAGCCATGGTGGTTGTCAGGCCAATCAAAAGTACCGAGAGTATCCCTGCTATCCTTGGTAACACCATGGCTGCAATCCGATTTTGTACTTGTAAGGTTCAGAGGACTCTGGATAGCTTTTGCCAACAAGATGATGTGTTCATGCTTTATGTTGGAAAGAAGATTCGGTGGCTCTGCGTCAGCGTTCGTTGGTGGCAATTTTATTACTTTATAGAACAAACAATTCCATTACTACGTCATGCCTAGCACGGGCCTAAAATATCCGCAAGCCATGCATTTTTCCTGGCTTGCCCGTGGGTCTGTGCATTTGATAGGCCATATGCCATTATTTGAAACCTCTTTGAGGTACCCCTTTTGCACACATCACTTTACTTTACTTTCTGCTGCTAGGAGGGTTACTGCTGCAGGTGCTGCTACTGCCAACAAGTTTTCTCCAGTGGCATGGTATCGGCAGGATGGAATATGTTGGGAAGTCTGTTGCTGGTATACTATCTAAAATGTATGGTGGCTAGCCTCTGTTGGGGATAGCTGAATGATTCAATCTGTTTTGTTTGTTCATAGCACTGAAGTTCTGAAGGTTGCTCATCTGGGGTTGTCCGGCTCAATTTGACAGAGGCAATCGCTTTCGTTGTTCAGGACGAGCAATTGGACTTGCTTGGAGTCCACAAAACTTATTGTATGCTTTTTCTCCCGACTCTCTAGCAAAGTGCTAGAAGCAGGAAGCAGACCATACGAGAGCTATCATAGGTATTGTAGCTGTACGTGTTGCTGTACCATACCGTAGGTGCTGCGTTCGGATGGTGGAATGGTAGTTACCGGTACCGGTTGCTACCATGGTGTCTCCTTTGTACGGAGAATCGAACTGAGCGCCCAACCAAAACCGCTTCCACCATGGTGGAACGTGGAAAGTTGGGGAGGCTGGGTAAAATATGGCTTGCCGGCTCTGTCATTGGTTTTCTCCAACGACGACCTCTTCTGGCGGGCAACCACCCCAAAGCAACACGGTGTTGCCATTACAACTGTCATAATTCTATCAAAGACCAGCTACTTCGAGCATCAGCCAACCTTCACGACGCATCTATCGCAGCTACGGTACCCAGTCTCTCTATCAGGCAACGATAGAAACAGTCCACCAGAGTTCACCCAAGCTCCATTCATTGCCCAACGCAGTACAGTCGTACCGCTAGTCTCATTTTCACCGACAGCAGTCCTCTTTTCGACACGAGACGAGACGAGACGAGACAAAACATCCTTTCCAATCGCGACCACGAAGATACCATGGACCCTCAAAACCCTCAAGAAATCGCATCGATCATAGCTGTTCTTCAGGAGACACAAGAACTGCAACGCCCTGTGGGAGAAGAATTCGCGATTGCGCGTCATCGAGAAGCCCAATCGTCCACCACTGTTCCTTCTCTGGAGGAAGCCCAAGAGGAGATGATCTCCATGGTGTTTGCGGCAGGACGAGCCACCGAAGAATTCGATTGTGCCCGAATTCGCTTCCTATTTTCAGTTCACCCTTCCTTGACGGGGGTTCGAGATGAAATCTTGGCAGTGTTCATAATCTTGGAAAGTGACGACTGGAAGGAGGGTGTCGACGCCTTTCTCTGGCTGTTGATCCAAAAATACCCTACCCTCGTGGAGCATATGTTTGACCACACTCTAGTAATCAAAGTGCTCAGCATACCAACAGTGTCCCATGAAGTACTCACAGCAATCATCGAATTTAGATTGTCTGCGTCGTGTCTCCAGTGGATCGGGTGGGAGGAAATGCCCTTGCTGTATTATGCAGCCAGGGATGTAAGAGTGAGTCTTTCTTCCTTGAAGTGCGTGGGCGACATGGACCCGTCGATGGCATTTGATAGCCACGTGTCTGGGGACTTGATGCCTATCCGTAGCGTCTTGAGACGACTCTGCCGGCCAGACGAATCGGAACACAAGTTTCGTGATTCGGATATGGCGAAGCTGCACTATCTTCTAAAGCTGTGCCCCGAGAGTGCTTTCATGGATCAACGCAGCGATTGCACCGCGTTGGAGTGGGCCTATGCGAATGGCGCGTCGTTGGATGTGCTCAGAGCCATTTCCGATGTTCACGACCAGTGCGACTTTTCCGACGAGATCTGTGCCCCCCCCTACGCCTACGTGACAGATCGAATTGAATTGAAAAACTCCATTCTAACTCGAGCAAAGCTTGCGGCCATGAAAGGATGTCTCCTCAACCATCCAAAACTAAAACTAATGTGCGGTCCAATGGACTGGGACGTCGATGGAGTTTTCGCCTCGCAGGAATTGTTGAACCAGAGAACCCACCCTCTCGACTTAGGAATTCGTATCCCCGAACCTGGATGTCTATTGCAAGATGGACAGGCCCATGGTGATGCACCCGTCTTCGTGGCGGACGCGCTTCTGGGGCAACTCGATTATGTCCACTCGCTGCAGCTACATTTCCCCGAAAGCAAATCCTGCCACTCCACCGTCCTGCAGTTCTTGGAGCGCGGTCTCCAGAAAAATGTGAGCATTACTGACCTCAGCTTGATCTATCTTTGCGTTGACGAAGATTGCTGGTCGTCTCTCTACAATATCATGGCCAAGACAAGGATCATGAAATTTTACCTGCACATTCGCGAACGACTCGATCCTGCTCCAGATTGCAGTATTTTGCCAGCCAACAACAATCGTTTGCACACATTCAAGTATGCTGACAATGATCGCAACTCAGGGTATGCCGACCTCTCGAGTATGCTTGCCCTGGTTTCCCGACTACCAGAGCTCCACCAGATCAGTTGGCGATCACCGATAGATGTTTCTGGTTGGATCTTGGAACGGATCGAGGCAGGTCGTCTGAAGGAGCTACATTATGAATCAAGCCGACTTTTGAATATGAAGACGCTGACCGAAGCCCTTCGCGTACAGTCTTCCCTCGAAGTCCTTCATTTGGAGCCAACAACTGAAAAAGAAACATACACGAAGGCAGATTGCAGAGTCCTGGCTAAGCATCTGGAGCGTGAAAACTTTTCGTTGACGAAAGCCAAGGTACTACCATGGCATGCGGATGGCGCTGAGAAGGACGCAATGTATGTTGAGCACTTCACAGCGTTGAATGCTCTCGGGAGGAAGACGCTGACTGAGCCAAGTTGCACTCGCGAGCACCTTTGTCAGAAATTGCTCGAGATCCGTGTCAAGAAGGTGCGGATCGGTCCGATGTACCCTCCCTACGATTCGATATACTACCCTCCCTACGATTCGGTGGCTGAGTTGAATGCCTTTTTCAATTACTTGTCCCTGTGTCCCGAAACCTGGAGCGTCCCCGTGACCCGAAACCTGGAGCAGGAAGTCGCTGAAGAACCCAACGTGCACCAGGGAGTGGCTTGTTGGTAGCTTGATCTCGACAGGTACATTGCACAAAGATGCAAAAACGCTTGTTCCTTTTGAACTATTGTTGTCATACGTCAAAGTCTGGAGCCACAAAATGGTCTAAACGCCCGAATCCGGTTCTCACCGAGTGTTGCATCCGTCTCAACTGGGCAAATCGTCAGCCCCAACGCACTGCCTGATGAATCAATTGTCATGCTGCGGGCTTCGTCCCTTTAGCTCTACCGGTATCTAGAAACATAGTTGTAATCCACCAAGTAGAAGGGTAGCTGTAACAAACCTAAACATAGTCACACCAAGATGGCTGCTTGGGTCTTCACCTAAAGAGAGGTACAACTCACTAAAGGAAATGGCCCTTGAGGAGAGACCCTTTGGTTCCCCGACTACTACGGTACACCATCAGTGTAGCTGCCCAACAACGCAGGCAGAATTTGAGCTTCATCACAAAGCGGTACGAAAACAAGTCGAGGGGTACCGTTAGTATCCCAGAAGACCTTGTGTTCATGTAACCTGAGATGCTGCTTAGCCCCATGACTACAAACCCCTTGGTATCTAAGGCCAAATCAGAGCAACTCCGCGAAACTAAGGGCCGCTTGAAAGTGGCTGGACGTTTGCCGTGGTGTTGGCATCACAATCGGTTCAGCTCCTTGTACAAGAAGGATCTTCCCTCAACTGAAGACGAAAGTTGCAATGAAGTAAGTCTATTGGATGTGGTCATTGAAGATTTGTCTATGTATATATCTATGCAATCTATGCTTGGTATATTTTCGCTAGGAAGGAATGATCAGAGAAGGGGGAAGTATTCAAAGCTCAAGCGGTAACCGCCGCCGTGATTTGGGATTGGGCTGCTCTTTTGATTTCTGTGGAGCCGAATCGTTTGCTGATGACGGTATTGTAATCGTCTTGGGTGGCTCCGAGGGTTTTCCCGCCAAGGAAGGATGCTGCTCGGCTTGATGGGCTACAAATGTGTCCAATAGCTCCTCTCCCTCCTTGGTTTGCTTCAGGTGATGCACAAACTCGTAGATTTGATCCAAATCTTGAGATCCGATTCGATCGAAAGCATTCGGTTGCGTCCGTCTGGGAGATCGGCGGCGCTTCTTGGCCGCTTGGGCGGGAGAAGGCGCCGGGGACGTGGCTCCATCTTTGGTGGGGTTTGTAAGCGAGGTGGCGTTTCCCATTGTTGGAAAGTTGGCGTGCTGGTGCTTTTGCTTTGGTGGTTTTAGATTGCTTGGGTTCTGAATTGTGAGGATGGACTTGACACCTCCGACGAAAGAAACATCGATGGATAAGGGACAATGCAGGATCGTGATGCAGTACCTACTTTACCGCTATGATACCCACATGTCATGCATGAAGAATGACTCGACTCAAGCCAGTTTTGGCACATAGTTGGCATGAAAGAAGAGAAAAGCCTAATGAATGATTGCGGAAAGCCTCCTTAATTAATAAATAAACAATTCTTGTGATCGGAAAACTCAGGTTTGAAAGGCCTAAAGGAGCACCTGGATACCTGGATTTCTGGTACTAGTAGGGGGCCTGTGTTGAAGAGACTAAAGGTAGCGATAGATGTATTACGAATGATGTTATAAGATTATGAGGAAAAGCTACTTGGACGGTCGGACGGCCGGAATCAGCACACCCTCAGCCTCTACTCATGTATGGGCTGGAGATAGCTTGCGCGTTTGAGAATGTGGTGAGCTGTCGGGTGATGCTTGCTGAAGTAGTCAGCATAATTCTCTTTGCCAGGGCGCCAAGATACTAGGAATTGGCCCTGTTGTATGCGATCTCTGATCAAATAGAAGCGCATGTCGATTGCTTTGGATCGTCGTTGTTTGACTGTGTTAAGGGCGAGTTCAACGGCCACCTCGTTGTCGTTTTGGATCGGGGTGGCTGGTGGTGGGTGCCCATATTTCGTCCAATGGTTGTGCGATTGTGCAAGCTTTCCTGGCATTGTAGTATAGAGCTGCCAGTTCTGCTTCCGTAGCTGAGGCAAGCACCATGGGTAGAATGGAGCTGATGATTAGGATGGCTCCGTTGTGTGGAGGGAGCTTGTCCGCTGGTTTGGGAGCTGTGTTTGGTTGTTGTAGTGAGTCAGATAGGATGAAGTGGCCTGCCACTCTAGAGCGTGCTTCGGTTTCAGAGTGGTATGATGCATCACTGTGGATGGATAGGATCATGCCGCTTGCATGGTATCTGACTGTGGCGTCTGGGTGGGTGAAGCAATAGTCTAGGAGTTGAGCTGCAGCTCTCTTGGTGGCCTGAGTTCCTTTGGTCTGGGCTGAGGCAAGTGTGCCAAGGGCTACTAGCATGGTTGAGTCCACTGCTCTTCCATAATATAGGAGGGTTCCTATGATTTCTTGGAGGCGTTTTGTGTCTTTTTGTTGGAGAGGATTGGTAGTGTCAGCTTTGGCTGTGAGCTGGGTCTTGGCTCCATATTGCGGTAGGTTGCATTTGTATGGTGAATGTTGGGCTCTGTTTGGGTTTGGATGTTCGAAACGTGCTAGGGCTTTTGTGATGTACCCTGGCATGGAGAGGTCGACGGTTCTGTTGGTGTAGTCCCAGTTTAGGGTGAGACCGCAATAGAGGCTTCCGGTCCAGTCCGTCGTCATTTTGTATTGGGCTTGGATGGTGTCGATGAGGTGTTGGGCATGTTCTTCGCCAGTGTACTGGATTCCGAAATCATCTACTACCAGTGTGAACATTATGGGCCTTGTAGTGTGTTTGAAGAGGCCGTGGGTGTGTTTGGTTTGGTGGTAGCCATTTTGAGCTAGGAATTTGACTAGTCGATCATTTGCAAGGCGTCCGGCTTGGGGTAGTCCATACATGCCTTTTCTTATTTCTACGTAGATGTATCCGTTATGGATTTTGGAGTCTAGGTCGTATCGGCGCATGATGTCAGCTGGATGTCATCTACACGAAGCCGCATGTATTCGTATTCTGTCATTGGTGTGTTTAGATAAAAATCTTTTATGTCTGCAGTACAGAATTTGGCATCGGGAGTGGATATGACACTGTTTAGTAGGCATTTTACGGTAGTTAGATCGGATGTTTTTGTTGAAACTTCACCGTCGTATTCAATGCGGTTTCCCCCGACGGTCCATCGGACTCGTTTCTTTACCACTTTGTGTGGGCGGTCTTCGGGTACAAGTCGAGCATATGTGGGTTTTTTATTGTGTGGCACCTGGTCCTTGGTGATGAAGTAGCATGTGTTGGTTCCACTGTCGGGGTGGGCGTCGTTGCCTTGGCAACATCGACCAATTTCGTCACTAAACATTTGTTCCCATATGTCTCCTTCAGAATTTCGTCTAAGTTCTTGGTAGCTGGCTTCTCGACCGGTGTCGATGTTGACGGCGTTGCAGACTTGCGGAGCGTTGAAGGGGGAAGGCTGGGGGAAAAGTCGTTCCAGGCGGTGGCTTAATAATTGTTTTAGGGCTATGGCTGCGGGTTTGTTGCGTTTTTTACGCTTTGATCGTGGGGCCTTAGATGGATCGGTTGTGATTTTGTGTTGGGCCGTAGATTTGCGTGTGTTTGCGATGGCTTTTCTAGTGGCAGCCGATTGTTGTCTGGCTGCGTGGGCTTTTTTTGGTTGTGTTTGTTGTTTTTTTTTTTTTTTTTTTTTTTTTTTTTTTTTTTTTTTTTTTGTTTTTGTTGTTGTGGGTTGGTTTGATGGGGTCCCTTAGGATCCAGGGTGTCTTTTGGGGCACCCTCTGAAGTGGTGTCGTCTTTGGGACGGTGGGAACTCTGTTGTGGAGTATTTGTTGGATGGTTTCTAGTTGGTGAACTTCACTGTCGGTTAACGGGGCTAAGGGAGAGTTGGGGCTTGGGTTTGCCAATGCGTTTGTGAGATCATGGGCTGCTTTGATGACTATGTCTGTTGTGCTGTGGGTGGGCATGGTTACATGTCTGGGGAACCATTCTACGGTATCCATTATTCGGGTGGCTCTGGTGTCAATGCACCATGCTTGATAGCACCGATACGAGTCCATGGCAGGTCCAACGTACATGCTTCTTTCGCATGGGGGTCCATGATGCTCGATTTCCTGGTTTTTCGTGGCCTAGTACGAATGTGCCTGGTGGAGCCATGGGGGTGCGGTTGAAGTCGAAGAAACCGTGGACTTGGGCGTACGCAGAGAGTTTTGGGTTGACTCTGGAGCCTCGAAGAAGGTTGAGTGTGATGTTGGCTTGCGGGATAAGGCGGCACCATAGGTGCATTGGGAAGTTGGGATCACAGCCGCAAAATATAGCAATGAGATGGTTTTTTGCGGTTCGGATGGCTCGTTTGGCTGCGTTGCGTCTATGCATGCCGGGTGGGGCTAGTTGGAAGTCAATGTTTTCGGAGCGTAAGTGTTCTTTTAAAATATTTGAGCATTCGTTATCTAGGGCGATGTAGTTCTGGTTTAAATCCAGCTTGGACTAGTACGGCGTTGCTTCGTTTGAAGGCTGAAAGAATTTCTCCTGCTGTTCGGTTTTTCATCGGTTCCATGTGAATGTAATTGGGATCGTAGCTGTATAGGAAAAATATATATTGCATGCCTTGGCTGGAGGTAATGGGAAGTTGTCCCGTTTGGTTGGTGTAAATTTGGCCGGTTGGGTCACGTGCAATCATGGTTGCGAAGCACGCTTGGGTGCGTTGTCCTTTTGGTAGGGCTGGCGGGAATTCAGATGGAGAAATCGGTAACTGGTGGTGGCCGTTTAGGTTTTGTGATTTTGGTTCCCTGGCGTTGTTGGTCCATGTGTCCTTTAGTTGTTGCCTTTGATTGGGGTGGGTATTTGCGGAGGCTTTTTGTGTTGAGGCCTGGGAAACCTGTTATATAGTGCTTGTCGACTGCAGTTTGGAGCGTTGAGAGTGCTGGGTGGCCCATAGTAGCGTGACTGAAGGCTACCTGTTGGGCTTTGGTGGGATCAAAGTGTGCTGCGTTGGCGAAGTTGTGGGTCGGTTTGATGGTGACCGAAGCTGCTTGTTGAATTGGATCGATCGGTGGGAAACCGGGTGGGTTGTCTATAGGGATGTGCCATAGGCCAGTCTGGGGTGTTCGGTAGCCCGTGATAATGCAGTGTGCGTTGTAATAGACCTTGACTGTGGTGTTGGTAAAGGTGGCTGTGCATCCACTATCGCAGAGCTGTCCTAGCGAGATGAGAGATCCTGAGCCATGTTTGAGTTCTTTGTATAGATGAGCTCTACATGATGCATGTGGTAGGTGTGGGATGGTGATGTCTCCTTCATGGGTGGATGTCATGGTGGCTCCTTGTGCTACTACGACTGTGATTGGATTGGTAGTGGGGCGTTTGTTTTGACA